ATAGTTGTCTCGTCACTCAAAACAGCGTGATCCTGACTGTGGAATTATATGGTTATCGTATTAGACACCTTGAGATATCGGGAAGGTGGATTACTAAGATTATCAACAGCGTCTTAGGAAATTATAGATAGAAAAAATAACTATAACATAGATTATTAAACAGATGTTACTGACATAAAAATTTAATAATGCAGAATAAAAAAAGCAACACATATCCTAAAAAGTGAAACACAAAGCAATCATGTAAATTAGAGAAAAGGTAAGAGAGAGATTTGATAAGATTAAGGACTAGAGATAGACAATTACAAGACAAAGATTACTGTATTATTATAAGTTATATAAGCAATAGTATTTGTGCTTGCTGCGACATATATGTGATAGAAGAGAGAAAGGCTCCACAGGTAAGAAAAGCAAATAATAAGTTTAGATTTCAGATATTGTGACTGTTGTGACAATACGTTAATGAAGTAGAGTTTAGCAATGACTGCGAGTCAAAGTGGGTTCTACAAACAATTAGAGAGGTTCTACAATGTGATAAGATATATTGATATATATAAAAAAAATTTACATGAAATTGACTAATGGCATAAAGGGTGATAGAGAGAGTAGAGGAGAGAGAGAGAGAGATAGTATTAGATAGTTATATAGTGTGTTGATAGATAGAGAGAGAGAACATTGTACCTTGCAAATCAATAGCGGGTACATTTTACCCGTTGGTGGTTTTGGGTATACAGCGACCTCTGGCGGTTCTAGTGTTAAAGAGCGCTGCACAATCATTTGGAATTTTTTTATTTTGAAAGAATGGTCTGTTATAAAATAAAATAAAACTGTGAATCAGACAGTAATGAATATTTAGAACCAGAAGCAAGCGGGACAATCAGATTTTTTCTGGCCTTCTCAAATATCCATTCGATAATCCAGAGGCACTTATCCGAAAACCCAGATCACTTTCCTCCCTCTTCTATCTCAGGCCTCACTTTCTGCTCCTAAACTGGATAATAAAAAGGATTGCTTCCAAAGCCATAATGAACACATCATGTACTTATTTAAATATATATAGTACGGACATGCATATAATTAATAAGATATGCAATACGGGAGCGGTCAGTGGCAGGAGAGGGGTTGTTATTCAAAAACTAAGGAACATTCGGTAAAAAATGCGCCACAGGAACCAAGTTCTCCAGCGTACTTTTCTGGGGCCTCATGTATAACGCCGTGCGTAGGATTGACGTGGGAAGGTTGCTTACGTAGTAGAAATCCGAAAAATCGGTCCATACATTTTCCGCCACTTTCCGATTCACCAAACATTGCGTACCGGCGAGGAAAGTGCGTATGGCACTTCCTACGCCGGTTTCCCTTTATAAATCACAACCGACTCAAAATGCGGTGCAGCTTTTGCGGGCTTCACGTAACGCCCATATTTGCCTATAAATAGTCAAAGAAACGCCCTTTCATTCATTCATTTTGACTGACTGTATGGAGAAGATCGCAGGAAATGACGACAGAACAGCTAAAAAAAACATCTCACACTGTGTCAGATTTGGGTTGTTTTGGGGAGGTCGAGATAAATCATATTGTTTGGTTGATGCTGTTTGAACCATTGTAGCAGCATGGAGGTCGGATCGTCACCAAAATAAATAAATAAGTGGTCCGAAAAAGGTTAATGACAAAAAAAATACACATAGCCTTCCTCAGGCAGTGTGTTTGTACCGGGGACAGGAGACCCCCCTTGATGAGAAACTGTAAGAAATTATCGGGGAATCCCTCCGGAGTGGAGTCATGACGACTGGATCTGAATTATGTTTTCGTATTTGGTGGTTTATGTCCGAGCTGTCGATCAGCTGTGCGCAGCGTCTCCACTGCAGCAACTCTGCATATATCCACCATTTAAAGGAAATACAACTAATGTGTTATATTAGCTGTACAATTTACCACATATGGTGTGTTTCCATACCTCCTGTGTTTTATGAGCGACTTATCAAGTCTTAGCAAACGGCATAAAACATGATTAAACATGGTAGTATATAAAACCATGCTCGTATCTACAACCTATAGAAATGCAAAACGGCGTCAGTTTAGACGTAATTCTGTCCTCCTGCTTACCGCATCATTTATGAGAAAACATTTCATAACATTAACACAACATATTCGAGGTGGTTTTAAATAACATATCCGTATTTATTTATTTCTCCAAGTTATGTTTTTGTGTGCACTGAGGAGTCTCAAACAGGCGTTTGTTAAATCATTTTAAGATTGGCTTTAATCAATGTTTGAAAATGAATTCTTCATATATGATAAATGAGAGGTAACATTTTATTTATGGTATTATTTCCACATATTTCTCTCCATTCTTCCTTCTGCCAACGGTGTCGCAGTTTCTCGTCTCTCCCGTTTTTGTGCTTAGTGCGTACGCATGGGTTAGAGTTTGCTTGGAGGACCGCACGTTTTCCCGTCAAGTTAGTATTTTATAAATCGCAAACATTGCGTAGAAACTGGCGTACGCCATTTTTTGAGCGTATATCCCTTTATAAATGAGGCCCCAGAGCTGGACTGTGGATGTGTATCGGCATTTCACCTTAGAACGACCTTATTGGGCCCATTTATGATTCAGTCCTTGAACTATACGTCTATTGCCAGTGATAAGAGTGCTTCAGATTAAATGAAACAATTGAACTGTGGTCTTTGACCTTAATTAGATTGTATGCGATCAGTTTTGTTGTAGCTACATATTTGATTTTTATCAGCCATACTGTAAATCACAAGAGGAAAACAGATTAGCCGTTTTAAGGCCTACAAATGTATAGATATTTAAAGGGGGATTGTATTAATTGTGTAGAGGGTATAAGTGACATCCCCAATCAATTAGCAAAACAAACAGAAGTTCAATAGAGGCACCATGTTATTTATTGATAAGTGATAAAAAATCATTCTATTTTTAATATAGATGTTGGATTACCCTATGATTGACACGAGATTCACAGCCTCCAGGATAAATGGAAGGAGTTGCAAGATGATCTACCCCAAAAGCATTTCAAAACAAAGAAAGTTTCCTAATAGTTGTGCTTTTTTAAATAATTAATTATGGATACAAAAAAAATCTTCTTCAGGACTGTGAGGAACATTTGTTGACATTGCTTTGTTAATTTATATGTGACCCAATTACTAATCTAAGGCCTGGATGGTGAAGATGTTACATAATACATATCAATTTACATTTAGACCTGAGACTTCATTGAATTGTTTAGAATAAGTCAATTAACATGTAAGGATTGACCTTAGTGATGAAAACGTTGACCAAAAGAGCAATTTACCAACTTTTTATGTCTGTTTTTGTGCATTTACATATTACATATCAATAATCATTTCAAACTGAAGCAAAATATATACAAGTAATGACATCGTGTAATCTACAAATAATACAAAAAGAGAATATAGGATATAAAATAGTTTTCTATGTCAACAAGATGTTGTCTACCCAGACTGTGAATGTGTTTGAAAGGGACAGAATCTGAGCATTTACAGTACGTTCTTGAGAAGATGTGTAAAAGATGTGACTCTTTTAAACTCAATATTACATTTGAACAGTGTTATCCTTTCATGAAAGACCCAACATTAACTCAAACATCTGATTTTCAAAGAGGACATAAAGGAAAAGACCAAATTAAGAGTTATCCAAGTTTATTAATATTATCTTTTAAAACTAATATAAATCCCACAGAATATGATCCTGGTGCCTTTAAGTCAACGAATGCATGGATACCTGCTTTACTGCATTTCAACACTCCGTTCAAAATATCGTTTTTTACCTTTTTTAATATTCATCAGAGTGGAAATACATGGCCTCAGTGCACGTCATATTCACAACTACTCTCCTTCCTTTTTCTCTCTTGTGCAAGTCTATGCGAGTGAGTTAGTCAACAGTATTAGTGTGTTTTTCTTTCAGCAGCAGCCAAAATGGGCGCCGCTGCTCAACTACACAGAGACAAAAGGGAGGGTGGATAAAACGGTTTTGAAGTGTGAGAACAAACAGTAAATATTTATCCCGAATTGAGCTGTGTATTTCTCACACACACACACGCACGCACGCACGCACACACACACGCACACGCACACAGGAACTCAATGCCACTGCCAGTATGAAATTGACAAAATGATCCCAGGTTGCAGGCTCATGTGAAATGTCTTGCACACATTTAGACCTGAGATCATCTTACAGAAACCTTACTAACCATCACAGGCCTGTCTGCGGGGCCGAAATATGAAGAAAAAACTCAGAGCAGGACCCAACACTCGCTCAGTTTATGAAGAACAGTCGAGAGAGACAGGTGACATTTTCCTTTTTCTCTAAAATACGTCAGGCGGTGATAACGGTGTCTTTAGTCAAATGAAGTGCTGGAGGGAGGTGTGATCGTAGCAAAGCATGTGCATATTCTGGGAGGTGAGGTGAACATTGAAGTTTATTTCCACTCTAGAAATACTGGGTGTGCACTAATACAGCAGCTGATCTGTTAACATATTTCCCTAGTTAGGAATGTCTTGATTTACTTAAAAAACATCTTTCACTAACAATCCACATCTTCTAAACATAAACTAATCAATACAATGATTGGTAAAATGAATCCTGCAATGTTTGTTTTTTTTAAACTGGATGGTGACATTGTATTCTAGTAAAGCAAGGCATTAGGTTTACAGAAATGCAACTTTACTAGAGCAGCTATCCTCACCTGCGAGTTGTTAGGCCGTGTTAAGCCCACGTTATATGTGCAAAGAAATGCATTGCAAGGAAACATGCAGAGAAACAAAACAAAGAATGACACTTGAGGAAACAATCAAAAGCTACATAAAAGCTTTATAAATACAATAAAATCTTAAACCCTTAATGGAGAAGTCTAGCTGTTGTAGTAATATGTGGTAGCTGGCACTCTAGGCTCAATGCTTTTTCGTCAGGTGTTTTTTTATTTTCTCGTAGAAGAGCTGCGCAGGTAATTCATGCCATCTTTGGTTGACTGCAGTACTGAAGAGAAAAATTAATATGATCTCAAAATAAATTTTCAACAAAAGGGTTTGTTAGAAAAACAGCATCAACTCTCAGCAGACAGCTGCGCCTCAATGTCCACTCTGCAGATGGGGCACTTCTTATTGGTGAGGAGCCACTGATCCACACACAGCTGGTGGAAGAGGTGCATACATGGTAGGCGTCTGGGGGGGGGGACACACAGAGGCAAACATTAAAATCCAACTAACAAATACAGTCTGTGTAGCCTTAGCTTATTCTTGTGTGTCCAGAAACGTTTGCAGAAATGAAGGAATAGCATCGCTCCGCTTGGGTTAAAACATGTGCTGAATGTACCAAGGACTGTTTATCGAAATAAACTGGCTTTTTGTAAAATCGCAAAAATTATCCTTAAAAATATTTTTCTTTGAAAACCTTTCAAATGTACACATAAAACTGGAATATTCTTTATTCTTCACATACTGCTGCCCTCTGTTCTTTATTCTGTCTTTGCACTTTTAGTAAGAAGAAATTATAACAATAAGAGAAGTTGAGCAATTATGATACCATTTATAATTCAAACAAAGGATGAATTATATCAGAAATGTGTGAACCTAATATCATTTTTTGCTGAAAGTTGATTAATTGATTAAAGGAATTTTAAATCCAAAATAATGTTTTACCTAAAAAATAATACTTATGAAAACTGTAGGTTTGGAAATGTGTACCTACAATCCTTCAAATGCTATTTTTGATGACTCGTCAATTTAGTAGAACAGTTGTTTTTTTTAAGATGCAAAATGCAAAAAATCCTCTAAAACCAACAGAGGGCAGAAAATCCTTGAGAGAAAAAACCTGAGCGAGTGCCAAAAATCAGCTCCATGAGGCCGGTAATTTTAGGGCACTCTGGGGTTTTCTGTTTATTGCTATACCTTTGGGTCTAAAAAAAACATTTCTCGAGAGATTGTGGATGAATGGAACAACTACACCTGCCATCCCACATGTCACGCCTCTAAAAGCGTAATTAAACACTCAAAACCATGAGAAAAAAAAAATGGCACAAACACCCAGGAGGGAGCTGTTTACCTGACGTCCTCCCCCTCCTCCAGTATTGACAAACAGATGGTGCATTTTTCTTCTGTGTCTTCTTCATCTGCCCCTTCTTCTTCGTCTTGCTTAATAAGCAGCTTTCTCTGTTTGGGGGAGACATTTGGAAAGTTGACTTTTGATGTTCAGCATCGATAAGGAAAGCTGTCTCAGCAGAATCATCACATATCATTAATAATCCTATTATTCCAGTCTCTTTCTCACATAAGTTACGGCTCAACTTAAACACTGTGTAAAATGACAAGTCCATTTTAAGTTTGTATATAAGTAAACTATTGTCTATTATGGGTAACTGTTTAGAACAAAAATGTCAAACAAACCATTGCCTTTGGGGACAGAGAGAATGGTCATTTTGTCCTGAAAACAGAAATATCTATCTATGCTAAACAAATTAAACAATACCCAAATCAAAGTTAATCTAGAGCCGAATTCCCTGGCCCTCCCAAGACTCAAGCTAACATCTACAGCACATGTGAGCAGAGACATGTTTCCAAATTGAATTGTTTATTTTTTCTCACCGATTCTGGGGTTGCGAGCATATTTTTCCCAATAGATGCCCAGGCTTCAGGGGTTAACTCTGGGTCAATGTCTCTCTCCAACACCTTCTGTATTGGGTGGCAGGGGTGTTAGATCGATTGTTCAGATACATTGGGAAATCTCTAAGGAAAAATGTTTCCTCAACAACGTCTTCACAGCAGCAATCTAGAAACACAGACCACCGCGCACTCTGTCCCAGAATAAACTGTAACAGACACATGCATGACTATTCACAGTATCTACAGAATCCAATAAACAACACACACTCTGATCAGCGCTCACCTTTTTGTACTTGTGTGGGTAAGTGCACCTCTCTATGGTTCCCTGAGAGGCTCCTCGGTTCACAGTCCCCAATCTCTCCTCTAAATGCAGCAGGTCCTGAAGGACGCAGCATAAACACAATGTTTTAGAATGATGAAGAAAGGTTTCTTGGCTCTGTAACGGATACAATTCCTCTTACTGTGCACAAAAGAGCAGAAAACCTGAATAATCCGTTCAGATTTAGCGGTTGAAACCTGTGACTCTGAGTTAGATTTGTCTGGGGTTCAGTGTCTTGCTGAGGGAAACATCATATCACTGACAAGATGATCAAACATCGATCTGCTGTGCCTGAGTTACAGCTGACTCGAATCGAGTTAAATGATATTAAAACTTTAGCAATTGATGAAGAACAGCTTAGTGGACCTAGAGTTACAATATTGCTTGTCAAGACATTAACGCCCCTGTCACACTGTCCCGAAATTGACACCCGATGGACACACGAATATGGAATTGTGAATTTCACACGAAGATGGCCCCGAACCACACACGAAGGCAACATTTACATTACATTTAAGACATACAACTGCAACGAAAGTAACACAAACAATTATGTTAAAGTATTATGATACTGTACTGATATTTTCAGACTTTGTTCTTTACTTTCTCCGTCTTTATATGTAGAAGATATTACGTTTTCTCCGTCATGTCGTTTCCATAGCAACAACAACTTCCTCGCCTTCAAAATAATATATGATATCCTTTTTAGTTTCACAGAACACAAATTGGGTTATTTACATAATATGTTTACATGATTTTGTTGTGCAATAAAACAACCAGATGGACACACGATAAAGGAAATGTTCAAATTTGGCTCTGATCGTAGCAACATCGGGCCATTCGTGAGGGCATCTTAAGCCATCTTTGGCATGCCAAAGATTTTGCCACCGCTCCCGAAGTTGCTGCCGGAGCCTGAGAAACTCCACCGGCGGTCATACGATGGCTTAAGATGCCCTCACGAATGGCCCGATGTTGTTACGATCAGAGCCGAATTTGAACATTTCCTTAATCGTGTGTCCATCGGGTGTCAATTTCGGGACAGTGTGACAGGGGCTTAAACCTTTTCTCAGAATGTACTCAAACTATGGTATTTTATCCCACTTTTCCAGATATGTCTGTTTATTTTAAATAAAAACAGAATTAAGTGTATACTGTTATGATGTGTCCTCATTTAAACATTATTCCGATCAGTCTTGCAATTATTTGTAAGTTAATATTGGCGATGGCAGTGATTAATTGAACAATAACAAATGTACTCTTTATTGTCCGAGTTGTGTCGGGACTGAGAAAAACGAAATAAGCCACTGTGAAATAAACAGTCCTCACCTCATAGGTTCTTCCAAAGCCAGTCATTCTAGATGAGATGTACCGAATGTGCGGGTAGGTCACTTCAGATATGCCAGTGTGCTGCGAGGGACGAAAAGAAAACCATTTGATGTTTCACTTTGTTTTGTTCAAGATGACAAAGAATAATCTCAGCATGTTCCTCTCATCAATTAAGGCTTTAAGAGTTTCTGAATCAGAAGGCTTCTATAGATTTTTTCCATTCGATATTTTGTAGAACTTATTATCATTTCATATCCTGCTGTGTGTTCATGATGGCTGAGTCATGTGACTTTGAGCTATGCTGTATTTATGTGCATGTGCATGTTTTAACTGGCATCTTCTCACAGAATACAGTTAAACCTACAATTTTTAAATAATGGAACCACTTGTGCCCACAACCTTGATATAGTATACACTTTAAGTTTGTATGGCATTAGTGTTTCCAAGCAGATAAAGTGCAACATTAGCATTTATTCATTTATACTACAGCTTGTCGCCAACTGTCTCTCTGCAGTTTGGTGTCCAGCTCTAAGAGTGCACAAGAGCAGTTGTTGGCCTAAAAACAGTTCTAAAAATGAAGTTGAGGTTTATCAAGATTGTTTATTTGGAAGCAAAAATAAAGAGGCCTTCTATCACATGGCACATCTGTAACCATGAAGGTCGAAGATGTAGCAATTAAAAACTAATGAACTCTGGCCCAGAACGTTCATCAAAATTCACTTGCATATCTTTTGGTTCTACTTGTATAGCCACTAATTCTGAGCATTCTGGCTTTGATTAAGTTTGAATAGACTCAAATCATTTGGAAAACCTAAATGTATCTGCTCTTTCATTGATGCTGCAGACGAGAACTGTGCTGAAAGACAACTAATGTTCAGATGTTTGACGGTGACCAAGTGAAAAGAAAGAAAATCAGGAAACTGTCGTCTGCACAGGATCTGTCTCAAGGCCTGTGGATTTGTTGAGTGTGCACTTGAAATGCCTGATGAGCTGCTATTAATTGCTAATGCATTATTCATGTGGTTCACCAAACCATCCTTGAAATAACTGATGTTATAAATAAGGGTCCAACACTATTAATCTAAGCCAGACTTCATTTAAAAGTGATTCTTTCTTATTTATGCTAATGTATGCATGTGTGCTGAGGGTATCTCCCTCACCATGAAGGGGATGGGGAAGTGGTGCAGTCTGGGGGGAGGGTGGTAGTGGGGCAGGTGGGAGTGCAGGTGCCCTGAAGGGTAGGGGGCCACAGTCACTCCAGCCTCGATGCCAAGCTCCCTGTGGATAAACACATGATAAGTGATCAGTCAACATTACATCTGAAAAGATTCATCATTTGAATACAGAGCGACTCAGTATCCAGCTATGGTTTGTGGTCGAGAGATATTACATCTGGAGGGACTTTCTTTTCATAATGAAGACAGGAGAGGTGGGTCTGATAAGATGTGGGACCTCAAAAGGCTCTCAGAGTAATGACTAATGTGTGGTGTTGAGTGTAAACCCTTTGCTGTGTATATTTCTTCAAAATTATTTTATAATATGCATGTACACTTTTTTTTTAAAAGAAATTAAATAAACATTGTGGTTATTTTTATTATCCAGGATATGCGTTGTACATTTATGGCTTCATATTAAGTTTGTTCTGATTACAGTTATGCTCTCAAAAAAAACAAAAAAACAATGTTATTAAAAAACAAAAAATGTACGTTTATCTGGAGTCTGTATTCAAAATGTGGAATAGTTGATAAACATTCAACTAAAACCATCTGCTAACCCTCCCGGCCTCGGACACTGACCATGCTGTTCTCTGCTCCGGCTGGCGGGGGTGGGAAGACATAGTTTGAGGAACATGGATGTGGTGTCCATGGCCGTAGTTGGGATGCATCCTGTGAGGGTGGGGGGGCGGGCGCTCGTGTGCTCGTCTGCGGGGAAAGGAAGGTTCAGGGTTTAATATATATGACCAGGAAGAGTCAATCCTGGGGGTGGGAGGGCTATAGCGGTACTCACGTAGGGTGCTGCATCATCCTGCGCCTCTGGACCTCCATCCTCTGCAGCATCTCGTGCTGATGGAGCCGCTGCACCGAGGCCCCCAGCGCCGGCATGTGGTGCGGCAGGGCCTGGTGGTCCGCAGGCAGGTGCTGGGCCAGGGGGGCACTGGAACTAGAGAGGTGGTGGGTGGAAAGAGGAGGGGGAGGGGCAGGGGGAACAGCGTGGCCTGAAGGGTGGGATGGCAGTGGCGGATGAAAGGTGACAGTGTGGGGAATGACATAATCTCCTTGTGTAGGGGCCTGCGGTGTGAGTTGTGGGTTCCCATGGGAATGAGGGCAGGCGGAGGGGGGCTGATGATGCAGCGAGCGTGCTAGAGAGCCATCTGGGTGTGAGGAAAGAGAGAGGGAAAGCATGAAGTAAAACACTTTTAGAACAACACATCAGATATCCTCTTTTTTGTTATTGTAGCAAATGCCATGGAAAGATCAGATCTAACAATGCGCGAGTCTTGAGCAACGTTTTTATCCAAATGCAACGCAACTTCAAACCTTATTTGGTGGAAATTGGCAGAAGAAAAGGCATCTTGCTCTTAACTTTTTCACCTCAGTAAAGTATAAAACCTTGTGTGACATTGTTTCTGTTGTTAGCCCCACGTCCATTTGTTCTTACTGAAGCCTACATATTTTCAAAACTAGTCACAGGATATAAACTAGGTGCATACGGCATTGACTTTGGTAAACTACGGTTGCCGAGTTCCATTAACCAGTTTAACCCCCATAACAACCAACATCAATTGACGAGGTAACGTGTGCAGACAAAAAGGTTCATTGATGGGAAGGTCAGGGTTTTGCTATACAGGAAATACACAAGGCTTATGGGATCAGTCATAATAAAATGTAGAATGTAACCAAAGTTATCCTTTATAACAATTACAAAAACGTCAAATGTGGGGGAAACGGTTCTCCGTCTGTAATTTGCACCAGCAGACAAACATCCCAGCTCATCGTGTCGAAGCTGATTATTCTGTAGCATTTCATATTGTTTCTGTTGATGAAGACTATCTCTGTTCTCTGGACACACTAAACGTTCCCCACCGAGTCATCCAAAACATAAATATTCATATATTCTTTTGTTTTAGATCTCCTTGGTGCAGACTTCCTTTACTGCTTGTCCAGGCAGAGGTTCAATGAGGAGAAAGGGAAGGCCTGAGAGAGGTGAGCGTGGGCACCAGCAGCAGAGACTAACTCTTTACTACATCCCCACCAGAGAGCCTTTTCACACCGCTTCACTTTCCATATTGAGCTATTCTGAGTAGAACGAGCAATTAACTACTTCTGCCTGGTACAGTTCCCACAGCACTTGGCACATTAACCACCAGGCTCTGTTAATTACTATTAGAATTAGGTTTTAGAAGGGGAACTGTCTGCCAATTTTCACAAATGCTATGGCACCACAGAAGAACTCAGTTTACAGATGCAATAGCTTAAACCGTGAAAGTCCAACAGAAATCAAGTTGCATTTCATTTGCCTGCTACACCACATGCTCTGTGAATCCACGTTCCTGTACTCTCCTTTGAGTAATTAATCATATGTATTTTTATTAAATGGTGGCGCTTCCTAGGTCGGAATTAATAGGAGACCTTGGATGCGGTCGTACAGACTTATTGGAGAGTCAGTTACATTTCGTGTATGCTAAGGAGAGGTGCTTTAATGCTTCCTTTCTTATATTCTTTACCAAGGAAATGAGGAAATTCCATCTGAAGATTTCTTGCTGCAGCAATAGTTAAATTGAGATACAATTCAGCCTTTAACAACAACAACTGCCCGCTTTGGACAATTTGGATAATCTAACAACATCCTTCTCAGGAGGTGTGATTTTAAAATGAACCCTTCCTTTAATGTCTAGCATTGTGTTTGACACTGTGTTTAAACATCTGTCGTAGCGCAATCATGCACTGCAGTCGGGATCTATTAGCACAGTGGCTGTCATTTCTTAAGTCCCTAAGAAATGTCCTTCACATCTTTCTTTGACCTCATGACGTTTTCTTTCAACATCAAGGAAAAGCATGTTTAGTAAAAGATCAGGGTTCATACACTTTTTCACCAATGATTTTCAATGACTTCTCCATGACCTTTACCTAATTTTCCATGACCCAAAAAATTACTCTTCCTCACCGATACCACTGAAAATGGTTTATTTTAACATGGAACAGGAAAATAAGGTCTGAAACATGTTGTGCCTATCTAAAACAAATCAAATAGTAGGCTTACTAGCTTCTACACGCTAAAGCAACTAAAATCTCTCACCAGCAAAATACCCCGTCAGTTAAATGCCATTTTATGTTTTGTTACTATACGATACAGTATTTATTATCATTATAGTATTACTATTTTGGCGATTAGCTAAAATATAAATTATATTTTAGACCCTCCAGAAAAACGCGGGCTAAAATCCTTGATTATGCGATTAAACATGCGGGGTTTTTATGTGATTTTATGCGGTGAAACTGCGGGAAGTTGCGAAATATGCGGAAAGTGGCGAAATATGCTAAATATGCGGGAAAAAATTATCGATTTTTTTTAAATATTGGGCTGTCTTATTTATTCTCTCTCACACACAACCTGCCACTAACGTTAAACCCCTTTACTATTCAATTAAACACATTCAATGTTTATTTATTGTAAAAGCAATTGGGCTATTTTAATCTCACGCACACACACACACACACACACACACACACTTCTCCGCCTCATTCTGTTTTCATTTACTCGTTCGTTATCTGCAGCTTCAATCTTGTAGGCTACTCACCTCGTTTCTTGTCGCAGAATCGCGTTTTTCTGGAGGGTCTAATCAACAGTCCTGCCAGTAACGTTACTATATTATCAATACTACTTTAGTTATAGCCTGGTATATGATTGCTAACTTTACAATGTTTTGATGTGACTGACGGTAGCTAACATTAACTTTAGCTAACGCCGGTCACTCACCAAGACAGCTGCCCTGTTCTCCACTGGTTCTCCTCACACCACAGCTCCATTTCTCGCCGATCGTTATTTCTTCTAATCCTTGGCTGCTCCTGGTCTCTTGGACGCCTAGCAGGCTCATAATTATATGGTTGTGGTCCGTCATATGCATTCGAATATTTATTTTCAACCTCTTCTGTGTCAAAACTAGCATTGTGATCCATGTTTATTACTAAGTTAGACCGGCCGCTCTCCCCCATGTGACGTCACACGCGGGAAGTAAAAATGTCTTACAAAAACGACGTCAGATGTCACTGTAGTGTATATTTATGTATATTTTTTGGAAAGACTAGTGTATACATCATTTTCCTACACATTTATTCACTGGTGTGTCTAACCTGCAAGTTGCTCTTTAAACATTTCTCCCACTTTCTCTGCAACAAATAATAAAGGCCTTAGGACAGACCTTTTTTCATGAAAGCAGATTTGGAGTAGTCTGAAGTTATGTTAAAGAACAATATAAGGCTAACTTGACTGCATTGTTGAGTGTCTTAAAAACAATTGCAGCTGTTTAGGAGCTGCTAATAGTGTCTTTTTTTGTTATCAATAAATAAATAACATGGCGAAGAACACCCAATTCAAGAACAGCAAACAGCACTTAGAGCAACAAATCAAAAAACAATTGTGCCATTGTGTTACTAATAGCAGTGTGGGCATACCTGGTCGTGGTAGTGGGCCGGGTTGCCGGTGCCGCCGCTGCCAACTCCAGCACAGGACGCGGGCAGAGCACTGGGCCGCTCCACGGGGCAGCTGGGCTCCTGAAAGGGCAGGGTCCCGGGGGGCTGTGGAGCGGGGTGGTGGACATGGTGGATGAAGTGGTGAGCGTTGCTGTGGTTGTGAACGTGGCCCCCGGTCTGCTGAGAGGACGCCGCCTGCAGGCAGCTTGAGTGGGAGTGGCTCAGTGACAGGTGACCGGGGGAGGGGCCTCCACACGGGGAGTGCTGCTGACAGCAGGACGGGAGCCGAGGCATGGCTGCGCCGGCGTTCTCTCCTGCTGTACCAGACAAACCTGTTCTGCTGTCATCTGAAGGGAGGAAGACATACAGTATGAGTAGGGAAAATATAGGATGGAACAGCAGGAGAGCATTTTAATATTGCAAATATTAATATTATGTTAGTGTGGAAAGCTTAATCCATGGAGAAATATACACATCTGATTTTGAAAATCTAGTACCTTCAAACGTGCCACAAAGAAAAAAACGACACTTTTTTGAACATTATGTATCCCAGTTTATTTCTGGCCGTAGTGTACCGGTATATAAAAGGCATCAGCTAACAGAAAGTAAACATGGATGGAAAATGATTTTTGTTTTGAATATGAAAGCAGTTTAACTTGGCTACTTTAATGATTTAAGATTTTAGAAGGACAGTTGCCCACAAAATAAAACAAGATTATATTATTCCTCTTACCTGCAGTGCTATTTATCAATCTAGATTGTTTAGTGTGAGTTGCAGAGGGTTGGAAATATCATCCTTAGAGAAGTCTACCTTCTTGTCTGCTTGTGTTCTGAAAATATATGGTTACTCTAATTTTTTCTTAATTATTTTCCCTTCATTTTATTTGGTAGTGAACATTTGCAACAGGAAAGGCAGGGGAGAGAGGGGACGACATGCAGCAGGATGCCGTGGGCAGATTCATTCTGATCTGTTTTCCTCCTACCAAACTACACCTGCCAATACGATCGGGGCGCAGAAGAAAGCGTGCATCTCTGACATATCTCTAACACTCGGCAACTCACACCAAAATCTAGATGGATAAATAGCTCCAATACTACAGGTAAGATGATTAGTAGTTTTTCAGTTATATCAGCAGCTTGAAGGAAATATGTTTGGACCAAAGCTGTCTCAGAGCATAAGATTTAAAATAAGTAGTTTAAAGCTTCTGGTCCTGTCTTACCCTCAGTGGCTGTGCGGCTGGAGCCACTCAGCCTCTGGGTGTGCATACTTTCAGGTATTGAGCCCGAGCAGCTAGTGGAAGGGCCCGGTGCATCATTGAGCTCTGAGGTAGAGGCATGATGAGAAGATGATGAAGAGGACGACCTGACGGTTTGAGGGTGAATGCTGCCAGAGGTTGTTGGCACAACTGTGAGATCTGTGGGGAGAAAAAGTCAGGTGCTGGTTCAGAAAAATATTCTTCTCAGAGGGACACCTACAGGTTTGAATCTGCATTTAAAAAAGGACAGAAAAAGAGAATGCAGCTCTTGGACAAAATGTTAGAAGGCTACATTTCTTGAGTTACTAAACCAAAAAAAGTTACTGTAAATATTTAGGTCTGAACTCACTAAAAGAGGAGGGGTCTGTATCTGACTATGTACGTTTTTAAAATGGGTCAAATGTATTTCGTGCTCAATTCATTTGAGAACATTTACACAAAACTCATACACAAAAACATGTAGATGAACCATTTGTTTTTAGTAGATTAAAAGAGACAGTTTTCACAATTCATGTGATAACTTCAAATTTGACACTTGATCTAATAAAGTGATGCTCTTATTAGACCCTCCAGAAAAACGCGGGCAAAAATCCTTGTTATGCGATTAAACATGCAGGGTTTTTATGTGATTTTATGCGGTGAAATTGCGAAATATGCGGAAAGTCGCGAAATATGCAAAAAAAATTTTTTTAAATATTGGGCTGTCTTATTTATTCTCTCTCACACACAACCTGCCACTAACGTTAAACCCCTTTCCTATTCAATTAAACACATTCAATGTTTATTTATTGTAAAAGTAATTGGGCTATTTATAAACACACACACACACACACACACACACACACACACACACACACACACACACACACACACACACACACACACAC